CAGAGTGGAAGCGAAGCCGAAGACGAAGCCGAAGACGAATTGCTTGCGTTGCGGGCAAGCTGGCGAGTGTACATAGTGGAAGATGAATGATATGAAGATTTGTTTCTAAATAAAACCCTTTTTTTAGATAAAATCAAAAGAAAATAAAGAAAAAACAGCAATTCATGAAATAATTTGTATAGGACAACTTTTGGAGAATTTCGCCACTTGTATTATGTGTTACGGCAAGACGGACAGACATTTTTCGAATATACAAGAATGCCAATTAATACGTTTGATTACATTTTGCCAAAAATTTAGCCAATTTCTTAAAAAACGCGTTTTTTCACAATTGCAAACAGTTAAATAAATTGTAAACAACTCATCACAGCAAGCGATTCGTCTTTGAAAACAGTACCGCACTGTTTCAAGCTGACCGCTTGCGCAACGTCTTCATCTTCGTCTCCGTCTTTGCTTGCACTGTGATCACTTTCATATGTTTACTACTGCACTGTTTTTCGTCTTCGGCTTCGTCTTCATTATCGGCTTCGCTTCCACTCTGTTTGCAACCTAATTCTTTCAGTTGTAGTTGTCAAACACAAAACACAAGAAATACGAATGCACATGTAAAAGAGAAACTGCGAAAATGCTTGGAAATGTATATATGGTTACCATACTACGGTAATAGCATCCAATGCGGCCAGATTAACATTTTATCCTAATATATTTGATATTCGTTTATTGATTTTTGACATTAAATATGCAGTAATACTTTTAGTAAAGAAAAAATATACTAATTTGTAATTAAAAAAAAAAAACCAAACCAGAAAAAAACTACCAAACAACCAAATTCGAAAATATTAAAAAAAAACCAAGTTTGGTTGGAAACAACCAACATTGGCATCCGTGCCTGCTACATGCCTGCCGATCACTGTCGCGAGGGTAGAGCTAATGAGGTCCTCGTTTGCTTGCCGCTCTACTCTTGCGCTGCCCTCGTTCGCTTACTCTCTCGTTGGCTGCACAGCGCGTGCGCTCGTACTTAACGAGTACTTGTTTGCAAACAGCCTCGTCCATCGTTGCCAAAATTTGAGATTCTGGTGCGTTTGTGCTTTGTCGGAAAAATAAAACAAATTCAGCCCAAACTGAAGGTCTAAAGATCAATTCCTGTGACTGTTCTGATACATATGTATGTAATTGCATCTGTCTGTCAAGATCAGAGTTTTTGATTAACTGTTCAAAATCATATTCAATGAAAACGAAATAAAACAAACATAGATGATTCTATCTGTATGTCAGATGAAAATATAAACATTTCTATGTATTTCGTATGTACGTGCATCTGCTATGTACAGAAACAAATCTAATTTCCCTTACACGATATGTTGGCATTTCCATATGTAAAAAATGGCGTGTACACATGCAAATGCATTTCGTGCAAGAATACTTTAAGCGTAGACGTACGCAGGTATGGGCTAAATTTCAAAGTTTCATTGTAAGTTTCTTTCTATGAATTCATAGTCAATTTCCAATTCAAAAAATTTATGCACATCCATTTCGGTAGTTTTGGTAAACTGCTGGTTGTTCCTCGATAATTTTATCAACTGTGAACGTCCTTCTCAGCTTACTTTTTTTAGTCTGATAAACAGTAATTTACTTAAAACGAGGTAAAATAATTATTATCTTTTAATATTTTCACTTAGTTTATACTTGAATTTAGGTTTAGGTATGCTTAGCGTTCACAGAGGTTTTGAACAAAAAAAAAAGAAATCATTACTAAAACAATTTACCGATTTGCAGAAGACTCTCGAAGACTATTGTTTAAATAAACAAGTAATTTTTTAGCCAAAAACAAAACCGACTTCAATTCTCATGTAAAACTTTAAGATTACCATTAATTTCTTCATGATCCAATAATCGGATCTAAACCAAATTAGGATGGGACCACCTCTGAGGTACCACCTTTTCTTTAAAAAAGAATTATCGAAATCGGTATGCAGTAACATATGTACATAAAAAAAGTATTCCGACGAATAGATAACCTCCTCCTTTTTTGAAGTCGGTTAAAAATAATGAAAAAATAAAAGAAAATAAAAGAAATGAAAAAAAATAACGACGAAGTCGCATTTTAAAATTTGCATGCAATTAAGGTAACTAACAAATATATTTTGACTCTTAAATAAGTTCATAATAAACTTTATGGAATATAAAATCCTTTGTAGGGCACGGTACAGCTCAATGTTTACAATAACAAGTAATTTTTAAGCAAAAAACCCAACCGACTTCAATTCTCATATAATAGTTTAGAAGCACCGTTAACTTCTTCTTGGTCCAATGATCGGATCTAAACCAAATTAGTATGGGACCTCCCCTGAGGCACCAGAATCGATTCTTTCGTGTGTTCTGAATTTTTTTTGTTTTTGTGACACAGTGTTATTCATAGTTTTGAAATATATTTCATTAAAGCAAAAAATAAAAATAGTTGACATCACTTTCTTTCTTAAACACCTAGGATATCACTGACCATTATAGAGGACATATTTACATATTTGTTGATGTGATTTTTGAAATGAACGATACAAAATTTGCCGGTATACATATTTAAAAATTTTTAGAATCAGTGGTTGAAATTATATACTCAAAGGGTTAAGAAAGTTTTAGTTTAAAAGTGTGATACTAAATGCCTTTCACCATAAACGGCGCCAAGCCTCTAGCAGTACAATATTAATTGTTGTCTTTCATGAAGTTCTTTAAATAAATCTTCAACTAAATACTGAAGTATATTTACGAATATCATGTTTTATTATATGCTTAAATTTAATTTCTTAATTTTAGTAAGTATTTCTTTACCGCATTCACCTGAATTTCGGGGGTTACTACTAGTTTCAATAAACTGTCAGTTTAATTTCTTATAAAATTTACCTCTAAGTTCTTACATCTTAAGCATACATCGAAAATTTGTTTTAGAGAATCAATGTGAAATAATTGCAGAAACGATTAACCGATTTTCTGAGCTTTTTCTGCTTTTTAAATAATTTTTGTAAAACAAATCGGCAGGTACATATCGTTCCCCGCATGCCAGGAACATGAATATATAAAAATTAAAACTTTGGGAAATCAAGTTTGAAGTGTTTTTACGAGACTTAACTCTGCATCCAGGTAATTGGCATTGTGAAATATGTGCTTTCCATGTACGCATGGTATTCTGACTTTTGGTATAACATAGAACATCCAAAGATTAATTAAGTCAGCCCAATAACTCAAAATTGGTAAATTTGCACATTCTTTATTTTTTTTTATTATACGCCTGCCCTACATATCTTCGTAGTAAGAAAATAGTAGTCGTATTTTGACACCTGAGTTGAAGATTGACCTATCTAGGCAGCCAGTTCGAAAACGCCCTATATCAAAAAACCTTTTCAAGAACGCTTTACTTCAGAATTTGATTGAAAAACGCCCTATTTCAGAATTTTATTGAAAAACACCCTATCCCAGAACTTGGTTTAAGAAGGCGCTATTTCTGAATTCGGTTCAAAAACGCTCTATCTCAAATGAAAATGTATTGAAAATGTGCTGAGATAGGGCGTTTTTGAACCGAATTCTGAGATAGAGCATTCTTGAAAAGTTTTCGGAAATAGGTCGTTTTCGAACTGGCTGCCGAGATAGGTCGATATTCCACTCAGGTGTCGATTTCCTGTTAATATTCTTCTATTTACATGGAAACAAGTCAAAAAATTTAATTTTAGTACTTAATTTATATTTGGCTATTAGTTAAGATTGTCTTTTCAAATGGAACCATCTAGTTTACGCACATGCATTAATAAGGATTAATCAATCAACTACAATAAAATTTTTAAATAAAGTTTTGAGGAATTTATCAGTTAACTACAATAAAATTTTGAAATAAAGTTTACGAGGATTTTTTTATGTCAGCCAGAAATTCAAGGTTGCCTGCCAATTCTTATGGTCTTAAAGTACTGCCAGCCCATAGTGAAAATCCATTGTTGCAACTATTAGTCAACATAATTCAGATGGGCTATCCCTTTGACAGCACATTAGTAATATTATAAATAGATGAAAGCAGTCCACTCCGCGACGCCTGGTTTCAAGCCCTGGTCAAAGCAACATCGCAAAAAAATTTTGAAAAAACGTTTTTTTCTTAACAGCGGTCGCCGCTCGGCAGGCAATGGCAAACCTCCGAGTGTATTTCTGCTATGAAAAAAATAGCTTCTTATTAAAATACAATCGCCGTTCGGAGTCGGCGTAAAACTGTAGGTCCGTCCTCTTTGTGTGACAACATCAAGCCGCATGCCACAAATCGGAGGAGAAGCTCGGCCAAACACCAACATATGTGTAAGCGCCATTATATTATATTATTATATTAGATGAAATTTCTACTGCCAGCCCATTCTGATGGTCTTAAAGTACTGCCAGCCCATGTTTAAAGTGCATTGCTGCAAGTATAAGTGATAGATAACATTTTGCAGTTACCTTCCTAGTTTGAAAGCTTAAATACTTTGAGAGGATTTTAGGGTCATCAACTTTTCGTTGTTCTAACTTTATTGCCAAGACCGCTGTTCAGCAGCCAGACCTGCGGATCGTGATTTATACATATATTAACAAGCTAAGCTCACAAAAACCTTCAATCTATCTGAAGTATGATGGGCTTTTTGGTCATGAGCTCTTGGTCTATTACTCGTTTGTTATTTTTCCCTCAAAGATTTATTGTTTGTATATCTTCATATTTTCAATTATATTTAATCGTTGTTCTTCGTGATAGTTTTATGTATTCGTTTCATATTAGTTTGGGCATTCTTCTGATTTTTCTTTCTTGATGTAGAATTTTTGGTAAACATGTGGGTTGCATAGTTTGACTCCGGTGTTGAGTTTAGCCGAAATCGGTTTGTCTCAAAACCAAATTTGATAAGGGATGACAGAAACTCGTTCCAAAGCTTTGCAACACTCTTTATCTATTTTTTATTGATATCTAAAATAACCTAATTTTTCTTTTATCTGATTTTAAGGTAAATAATCAACAATTTAGCTCGAATCCAGTGGTACCACAAAATTCTGGAGTACTGATGCAGCAGCAATCTCAGGGAAGCTTGCAACATATTAGTAATATTCAAAATAATCAAACTGGCTTTATGGGAAACATGTCCCAGGGAGTATCACAATTAAGTGGTCAAAATCAGCAACATTGGATTGGTCAAAATCAATACCACTCGATTCAACAGCAACAACAATTTTATCCTCATCAAGGTAGGAATGTACATACACATGACTGTATTTTAGGCTGGGCCGATCTAAAAGCTTTTTGATAATATTTTAATCTTGATATTATGTTGACTTAGCTCTATTCAAATAACAATTAGCTCCGAGTAGATAAGAACCAAATTAAGTCATATCTTTAGCCGGCGCAATTTATTGACGCGATATTAATAAAGGAATTACAAACATGTATGTATTATTTCTCCATGCACAATGGACTTGTTCCACAACCTCTTAAGGAAGTGTCACACGATTGGTATATTTGTAGAGATTTGTAAATTTTTTATATCGGGCTATTGGTACAAAGTAAAAAAAAAAATCGGGAAGTCAATTTTTTGTTAGTTACACGATTGGTACAATACAGCGAACTACTATTGAAAAATTTTAACAAATTATTTTTCGTGATTCGGATAAAGAAAATTATTTGGGCATTCAAATAATTGCGACACGATTTGCACCAATTTTTGAGCAAATACCCAATCGTGTGACAGTGCCTTTAAAAGAAAACCTCTTAAAACTGCGAGCGCAAACTAAAAAACTTTCATGATTCTCTTTTCTTGGGCCAATGTTGTGAATTTATTTGTGTATTTGTATTTGGAGCTTTTCGGCCGGTGTGTTGAAAATAAAAACAAAGTTTATTTTGTTCTCCTACGCGTTTCGACGCATTTTCGCGTCATCTTCAGGGAGTCTGTTTATTAATTTGCAAAAACGAAAAACATTATTAGTAACAAGCAAAATTATTTAGAACAATACAAACATAGTTAGATTTGAACATATTTGACTTACGTTAACATAAAAATTAGTTTAACTATTCACAATTTCAAAAAACGACATAAATACATTTTCCGGACACCACATTTAACATTTAGCAACACTTCTTTATCTTCCGATAGCTTAAACATTGTGTGTTATTGCAGTAGCATATGCACAGTTTATATTGCCAACATCTTCTTTGTAGTTCATCGCTTTACATATATTTTGTTGTATGCGTAGCCCTTCTAATGTCATCCTCTTTTCAGTTCTGTTCTCCACGTCTAAAATTCTAGCGTTGGCAAAATCTGCTGTGTGATTGTTTGTGGTCAAGTGCTGCGCTAGCGCTGTGGTGTTTTTCTTATTTTTGGCGTCAAGTTTGTGTTCGTTGATTCTAGTTCCTAATGCTCTCTTCGTCGTTCCAATGTATGTATATTTTATTGCAGATTTCGCCTTCATTTCCTTTGCACGATATTTCATAGACTACATTGTGTAGTTGTTCCTTGTTAATTTTGTCATTTGTTTTGGTATAAATATTTCTGATCGTGTTATGTGGCTTATGTGCATAGCATATGTTATTGTTTTTAATAATTTTGCCCAATGTTTTTTTGTTCGTTAGGTTGGGTATATACGCGACGTCTGTGTCTGTTTCCGTGTTATTTTTATTTATTGTTATGTTGTTATTGCATTTCATTTTATTTATCGCTGTTGTTATTAGTGTCTCTGTTACTCCGCTGGGGTATGCGTTTTTGAATAGAATGTTTTTTATTTTACCCCTATTATCTTTTATGAACTCCTAAACTTTCAAATTGTTTGTACAAATATTCGTGGAATAGTTTTGAGTTAACTTCGACAAAAACCACTGTTTGTTAACAGATTATCCTCGACGAAATTATTTTCGTAAAGTTTGTGCTATTTTGGCAGAAGTGTTTTTCTTTTTCAAGCGTTCTCTTTTACTTTAAAATTGTTCACAACACGTGAATATGTAAGTCGAAGTGGCTTCGCTTGTGGGAAAAATGTAGTAGTTTTCAATTCTTCGTTAAATCGGCTTCCGACAATTTTTAAATTCATGATAAAAGGAATCAAATGCGGCCTTTTAGAGATTAGGTATCGTTTGTTTGTTCGATTACGCATACTTACACATGTTGCCACGCTCATTTTAAATACATTCATTTAATCCTTTGATCTAATATATCGTAAACAATTTTAGCAGAATTGCTTCATGGACTCTATAATTGGGCAGTTATGTTTTGTACTCAGCTGCAATTGAATATATGTATAACTTCCGGGGTTTTGTTTGATCGAACGAATTTTCACTTGGTATTATGACGCTCATTCGATGAAGAATAGCGCTATTGTGAATTTCGCTCATTTAGGTTGTTCACAATAGTATATTTTTCAGAAGCTGTACAAATCGGGCAAACTAAATAGTGTGCTTATTCATATTTATTTAAATTTGTGCAAATTAAAATGAAGTAAATCAATTAAAAAACTCTTAAGTACGGGCGGAGCCGAACATTAGATACCCGGCGCAAGTATTAAATATAGTTTTTTCCCCTTTCCGAAAAATACCGCTACATTGTAAGCAGGAGTGATTCTACTCCTATTTCAAACATCTTCCATAAACTTATATAGTTATATGTGGGCGGTATCACGCCTTTTTTCCAAAATTCCATAATAATGTTACTTCTTTTTAAGGGATTGTTGTTAGTGTAAATTTTTTGTAAATTAGCGTCCTTAAATTTCGAAATATCGAAGTTTCAAGCATTTCTGAAATTTACCGTTATATAAAAAGTGGGCGTAATTTTAGTTCGGCTTCAATAATTTTCAGCGTTTTCATTTTATGTGGCAAGCACAATAATCATACCGAGTTTGGTACTAATTGATCAAACGCTTACCGAGATAAACATATGTGGTCATAAATGGGCGGTGCCACACCCGTTTTCCAAAATTTTATCATATTTCTTGCTAAAGATTTAATAAATTAGCTTCAGTATTTACTGATTTATCGAAGATTTCGTCCAAAATTTCGTTCCAAAATTTTATCATATTTCTTGCTAAAGATTTAATAAATTAGCTTCAGTATTTACTGATTTATCGAAGATTTCGTATTTCTCTAAATTACCGTTATATGGGATGTGGCCGTGGTTATTGTCCGATTTTAAAAATTTTCTGCCGTTTGGTGTGTTGTACCAAGGCCAACAACCGCGCCAAGTTTTGGGGAAATTGGTAGAGCGGTTACCGAGATATACACATGTAATCATAAATGGGCGTGGCTACGCCCATTTTCGAAAAATTTAAAATATTCTTATTTTTCGTCCAATAATCATTGTAAATATCAATTTTGGTAATAAGCTTCAGTAGTTAATAAAATATCGCAGTTTTCGTATTTCTGAAAATTATCGTTATATGGGAGGTAAGCGTGGTTATTGTCCGATTTTGCCCATTTTCAATACCGTCCTACGCTAAAAAGAAGTACACATACCAAGTTTCGTTAATAGGGCATTCGCACGAGGCGATTTTACAGGCAACAAAAGTTGAGTACGAAGTTGAATGAGAAGTTGAAAGTGAAAAAGTTACCATCCCTATTCAGACGAGGCGATTTTCGATTCAACACGAATCGTTATTTACATTATTGAAAATGGATTTAAATCGCAAAATTTTATCAATTGGTGTAAATTTGGTAAGCCAAGCGTTGGTAGAAGTACTTTTAGCGAAGCTGAAAGATAAAATAAGAGTAAAAAAGTAAAAAAGAAAAAAAAAGTATGTATACAGAACAGTGTTGGCAATTTTGGTACAATTGTACTTGTTGGATACAATTTCATTTACAATATACTTTCCTACTACGCAGTCCTTTTTAGTACAATTTTGTAATGAATACTAAAAATATATAGCTCTGAAAATTCACAGCAAGAAATTTTTTGTTTCTCTTTTGTTCGCCTGTTCGTACTTACCTTTGTAAGTTTTGAAAAATGGCTTGAACGAACCAGTATAATATAGCCTAGGCAAATTTTTAAAGAAACTAAGTTTTATTAAAACAAAATGTCGAAGTCAGCTTCATATAGAAACAAAGTCTTCGTTAGTTATAAGAATAGATTTTCTTAAATATAATACCTTTACGGCACTCACATTTTGACAAGATGTTACTATGTATTTTATTATTCTTTAATTTTTATTATCTGTTTATAAAATACAATGTATTCTTTAAGAAAAACTGTATAAACCCAAGATTAAATCTTTGCGAAACATCCAAAAACCAACATACTTTCGTAAAAATTTCGAGCTTTATTAATATTCTTTAGTTTTTAGCCCATTCAATTTTAGTAAAATAAAGTGCAAGTTTAAAGTAGCTGAGACTTACCGTTGAAATTGGCAATTTTTTTTGTCGACGATGTCAGCCATTTTCTTCCATACAAAGTGTGTTAGACGATTTTTTTATATGGAGAAAATTAGCAACACCTTCATCAAAGAAATCTTAAAAAACTTAGTTATATTAAAATTTAATGGGCTAAAAAACCGCACACTCAAAATAAATCTAGGAAATCGAATTAAAAAGCTTGAAATTTGAAAGTGTGTGGGGTTTTTTTTTAATGTTGCACAAAGTTTGAAGTTTGGATTTGTACGGCTTTTCTTAAAATATAAACCGTATTTTTACAAAAAATAATTAAAATTGAATTATATTAAGATAAATGGTCAAATCTTGTCGTAAAGTTTTGATAAATACTTGAAATGCTATTAAAATGTCAAATTTCAGTACTGAATCCAAAGGAAAATGTCTCTTTTATCCATTAATAATAACTTAAATATGATTTTTGTTAAGATGTATACCTGAAAATGTGTGCATACATATTTGCGTTAAATGCAGTACATGTGCACGTGGAATCACTTTGTAAAAGTGTAAAATACGTGAACGTATGTACATAAAGAATAAAACTTTCTCATGAATACCATAAAATCATTGGTCTTGGAATGTACTAAGAAAATATATGAGCGTATTAAAAAGTGTATACAATTTATAGCCGAAAAGTACATTTTTTGTATAGATTTCATACTGAAGGAACAATTTCATTTCCCAACACTGATACAGAATGTAAACAAACACAGGGTTGCAAGGAAAAAAAGTTGAACGAGCTCAAAGTTGGCTGGCGACCAACTTTTTTGAAAGCGATTAGTTGAAAGGCCGTTCGGACGAGGCGATTTTTGCTTTCAACTAAAAGTTGCCTGAAAAATCGCCTCGTGCGAAAGCTCTATAAGACATCTCAATTTTAATCGATTTCTTTTTTCATTCTGATCATTTATGTATACCTTTGTCTATATCTATCTCGAATCGTTTTGCCTGTTACAAACAACCGTTATGTGAACAAAGTTATAATACCCTTGCGCACAAGTGCGCTCGGGTATAAAAAGGCAA